GTTTACCTGCCGGGTCCGCAAGTTCGGCCGATTGTGGCTCCCACTGGCCGCGGTTCGCCACTCCAGGCCAATGGGGGCTGGGGGAAGCGGCGGTCAGCACATTCCTTGTCCCGCGCCACTTCCCACAGCCCCCATTGGCCTGGAGCGGCAAACTGCGGCCAGTGGGAGCCGCGATCGGCCGAACCTGCGGACCCGGCCGGTAAACAAACCAGCCCGACCTGCCAGTTTGTTTCCCTACACAAGCGGCAGCCCCAGTTTGAGAACCACTGACCTAGATGCCTCAAATAGATTGGGGCCCCCATTAGGCTAGGCATACAAACTGAGGTAGAGACTCTTAATATCTAAGAGCCTGTGACATCTAAATAGACAGAGGGTGGGAAGGGGAAGCGGAGGCACAGAATGGTGAAGCAACTTGCCCAAGGTCACACAGCAGGTCAGCGCCAGTCAGAGACAAGGAACAAAACCCCAGCTCGTCTCGTACCCACAGCTCAGCACCCACTCTACTGCTAGCTCACTAGTCTTAACAACTTTGAAAGAGGTACTTCTTGGTTGCTGTAAAAATAGAAGTTTAAAACAAGGACTCTTACAGCAGGGATTGTGTTTCTTGTTCCAGATTCATTAGTATGTGTGTTTTTCACTTGGATCCTTTCTGTGAGATTAAGTAACAGAAAATGCACCAGGCTAAAGGAGAACGAGTCCTTTTCCAACAGCATTTGCATTTATGTGACGAGAGGGAGAGTGCTACTTGGGAAGCTGTAAAGTGTTTGAAATTTCAACAAAAAATGAAAATAAAACCTCCAATTTATTAATTACTCATTCTGTAAATGGAGAACAGACTTTCATTTACATCATTGATGGGATAGCCTTAGTCAAATGAAGCAATACAGCCTGGTTGTCTGGCTGAGTGAAAATAGAACAGAAAGATGTCCAATAGACGGAAACATCCATAACACCAGTGGCTATGCAGGAAGTACTATCCTAAAGTGCAATGGAACACTCTAGAGAATTAAGGGGAGAGAGAGAGAGAGAGAGAGAGAGAGCGAGCGCGCGCAGACACAAAAATGGTGGTACATTGATTTTTGGCTAAAACATGCTATTAATAAACTGATTTCAGCTGCAGTGATGAATGCAACAACTTTTCTATCCATGTACAAATGTGTAATTGGACTGTACAGTTACAGTAGTTTTTCATTTTTGTAAAATGGGTGGAAAGCTATGAAGCGTTAAGACAAAATACAGGTAACACTGGTCTATAATTTTTGAGAAGTCGTCTGCTTCAGAGATAAAATGTGCTATTTATTATGTATTTTGATGTGCTGAATTCAAATATGACAATTAAAACAACTGATTGGCTACTGTTTCTAAGATATTTAAGTTTTTACATTTTATGTCTATGTATATTGTGTAGATAGTAGAGTTTTAATCATAAATTGTAAACCTAGGTCTTTTCATGTGTTTATGGTTGCTTTACATGATAATATTTCACCTGTCCTGTTTATGTAACACTTTAAAAATCAGCAAAAGGGTTATATAAATAAAATTTATTATGAAACAAAAGGCAAAAAACTATTCTGTACATAGTTTAGTCCTATTCAGTGTCTACTCGGCGCTTCTTGGCTTGTCTCTTGTATTCATTAAATGGAGCATCTCTTGTCACTGTCCAGCAATAGTCTGCAAGCATTGATGGGCTCCATTTGCCCTGATAGCGTTTCTCCATTGTTGCAATGTCCTGGTGAAATCGCTCGCCGTGCTCGTCGCTCACTGCTCCGCAGTTCGGTGGAAAAAAATCTAGATGAGAGTGCAAAAAATTTATCTTTAGTGACATGTTGCAACCAAGGCTTTTGTATGCCTTGAGGAGGTTTTCCACCAACAACCTGTAGTTGTCTGCCTTGTTGTTTCTGAGAAAATTTATTGCCACTAACTGGAAGGCTTTCCATGCCGTCTTTTCCTTGCCACGCAGTGCATGGTCAAATGCATCATCTCGAAGAAGTTCACAAATCTGAGGACCAACAAAGACACCTTCCTTTATCTTAGCTTCACTTAACCTTGGAAATTTTCCACGGAGGTACTTGAAAGCTGCTTGTGTTTTGTCAATGGCCTTGACAAAGTTCTTCATCAGACCCAACTTGATGTGTAAGAGTGGTAACAAAATCTTCCTTGATTCAACAAGTGGTGGATGCTGAACACTTTTCCTCCCAGGCTCCAATGACTGTCGGAGTGGCCAATCTTTCTTGATGTAGTGGGAATCTCTTGCACGACTATCCCATTCGCAGAGAAAACAGCAGTACTTTGTGTATCCAATCTGCAGACCAAGCAAGAGAGCAACAACCTTCAAATCGCCACAAAGCTGCCACTGATGTTGGTCATAGTTTATGCACCTCAAAAGTTGTTTCATGTTGTCATAGGTTTCCTTCATATGGACTGCATGACCAACTGGAATTGATGGCAAAACATTGCCATTATGCAGTAACACAGCTTTAAGACTCGTCTTCGATGAATCAGTGAACAGTCTCCACTCATCTGGATCATGAACGATGTTGAGGGCTGCCATCGCACCATTGATGTTGTTGCAGGCTACAAGAAGTAGTATGGGACCTTCCATGAAGTAGTATGGGACAAGATCCTTTTGACGGTCACGGAACATGGAAACCCTAACATCACCTGCCAGGAGATTTCACTGCTGTAGTCTGGAGCCCAACAGCTCTGCCTTACTCTTGGGTAGTTTCAAATCCCTGACAAGGTCATTCAGTTCACCTTGTGTTATGAGGTGTGGTTCAGAGGAGGAGGATGGGAGAAAATGTGGGTCCTGTGACATTGATGGTTCAGGACCAGAGGTTTCATCCTCTTCCTCGTCTGACTCAAGTGAGAATGATTCTGGTGCATCAGGAACCGGCAGTCCTTCTCCGTGGGGTACTGGGCGTATAGCTGATGGAATGTTTGGATAATGCACAGTCCGCTTTTTCTTCTTTGACACACCTTTCCCAACTGGAGGCACCATACAGAAGTAACAATTGCTGGTATGATCTGTTGGCTCTCTCCAAATCATTGGCACTGCAAAAGGCATAGATTTCCTTTTCCTGTTCAACCACTGGCGAAGATTTGTTGCACAAGTGTTGCAGCATATGTGTGGGGCCCACCTCTTGTCCTGATCTCCAATTTTGCAGCCAAAATAAAGGGGATAGGCTTTCTTAACCATAGTGGTTATACTGCGCTTTTGTGATGCACAAGTCACTTCACCACAAACATAGCAGAAGTTATCTGCACTGTTCACACAAGTACGAGGCATCTCTGCTCACTTTGGCTAAACAGAAATGTGTCCCTTTGCAAAATCAAACACTGACAGATAAGAGAGCACGACACTGTATGATTTCTAGAGCTGATACAGGGCAATTTGTTCAGCAGAGTGATGTAAGCTTCGTTATGATTGCATCATCCGTGACTTCTAGGAATAACATGATGCAATTCATATCATGTATGACGCAATACCAGCTTCAGATTGCATCATTCATTGTTTTGCCTAAAAAGCAAGTACTGTCCAAACCCAGTCATAGATTTATTCATAGATCCAGTCAAAGATGTATTTTAGTCATTTCTGTTTAAATTGAGATCCCTTCCCTTTATAACTGACTTATCCTACGCCATTCCCAAGTCAAGGGTCGTATATACTGACCCAATAGCATATCTTGAAAACTAGAGCCAATCAACAATTTTAAGCATCATTTTCATTCTCAGTGATCCAGGATTAGTAAAGTTTGACTACATTTATTTCAGAAGCATTTTGGCTGTAGAGCAGTGTAATATGGACAAAACGTTGAATGGTGCTCTAACCTTTAGACCAAATCTCAATTTGTAACTTTAAAAAAAAGGTGTGTGTTTAATATAGCATGACTGAGAACAAAAAAGAAGCAGGGAATAGTGTTAATATAGTGCAAACACTTCAGGTTTGATTGTAGCTACAAGAGAGAGGCGCACACTGAGCATATGGGCAGTGTCTCACTACCCCCAGGAGGAACGGCGCTTAAGGCGGCATAACACCTCTTGTAGCACCTGAGGCAAAAAAGGGAGTGTGCACTGTGCACCATCCTCAAGGATTGTGAAACCTGCTCTCTGCTGTGTTCAGTTCCTCCCTTTCCCTTGTTCCCCTCAAGGGGAGCTAAGAGGGGAACAGTTCTTGAGTTCCCTGGGATTGTGCCTGGCTCTTAGGTGAGGAGCATTAAGGACACTCCTTATGTACTTCCTCTCCCTCCCCCAAGCACCCCAGCAGGGACCCGGCACAATCTATTCTTTAGTTTTATTGTTTAGATGGCATCATGTTACATGGCATGATCTGAAGCCCAGGTCTCAGCACATTAAGGCCCTACGTGCTCCCTTTGAACACAATGGCAAAATGCTCATTGGTTTCAGTGTGAGCAGGATTAGGCCCTTTATGTTCGCTGTGGTGGGAGGCAGAAGCACAAGTGTATCAGGGCATCTTGGCTTTTAAGATTTCACTTCCTTCTCATACAGTTTCGAGCTTCCTTGTGGAGTGCATGACTTACAGACTACTGGCATCCGGATAAATAGTACCCTATTGATCAGCTTTTGGAACACAGTGTGGTACTACTGCCCAATGAAGAGGAAACAATGTCCCACAATGCAGTAATCTCAAACACTCGCTTACATGTAACCCAGCTAACTAATTCATTGGGCTCATTGTAACATCTTACATTTATAGAGCACCGCTCATCCAAAAAGATCCCACAGCTCCTCCCAGGTTACATGTGAACACTGAAATGCTGGCACCTCTAGGGCAGGAGGCAGTAAGAAACTAGCTCACAGCACACTACACAGTGTGAAAAGAATGTGTGTGGGAAAACGCTTGCAGGGAGTCTGAAAGAGTCCTCTCTTGAATTGGGAGGGACAGAGAGATGTTATTGACAGTGTTCACGCTAAGCATAGGAATGTTTTGCAAGCGTAATTTGAGAGCTAACATTTCTGCTGAATCCACTTTCCTTCCTTAGAAATCCAAAATATCAACATATGAAAAAATGTGGGCATTCATGAGCAGCAGGCAGCAGACTGCACTGGTGAAGAACAATGATGAAGGAATCCAGCGGGTGCTCACAACGGACTATGCCCTGCTGATGGAATCAACCAGCATAGAATATGTGACTCAGAGAAACTGCAATCTCACGCAGATCGGCGGACTCATTGATTCTAAAGGCTATGGCGTGGGAACTCCTATTGGTAAGATGCATTAAAGATAATTAATGATAAGCAGACCTCAAGAGGTTCTGGGCAGTTAAATCTGGATGCCCATTAGGAGCTCTCTGTAACCTTTGAGCACCCATGATCCTTCTTTCATTCAACGTCTCCCCTCTTGCCCCAGCTACAGCAATGGCTCTACTCGGCAGGGGCAAGAGAGTGGCTTGTAAGCAAGCAGGAAAATTAAGGTGTAGAGCGTGCCTTCAAGAAGCAGTCAGTTGGCCTGCTGCTCTTGTGGATAAAAGGTCCTGTTCACGGGTGACGGGGTGCCCTCTGCTCCTCCCTCCCATGTTATTAAACCATGCTAGCAAGACAGATTACATATTTGCTGCAGGAGCCTTTTATATATATATATATATATATATAAAGATGGGGATGTGGGGGGAGAATCAAGGTAAATGTGATCTCCAACATATGTACCCCTTGGAAAGCTGCATGAAAGGAGACAGGATTGATATCGCACCCTATGCACCATTGCCTGTGCACCTTAGTAGAATAGTCTACAAAGTTTGCAATGATTTTCAGAGCAATATGTAGGGACTATAAGAAGCCATTGCAAGACTATATTCCTACATCAAGAGTCTCAATGCTTTGGGTGCATTCTTAAACCCAGCTCCCTCACTTCCGCCAATAAGTAGCTGCCCTTTTCAGTGGATTTGCTTGCCTTGCCCCTGTATGTTTCAGTACTTTGCCAGTTATACATATTTAAAGAGATAGCGTATTTTCCACAGAAAGTGGGTCCTTCTGCAAATGGACATTGTGTAGCCAGTTCTTGTTCTAGTTTAATATATTTGTCCTGCTCAGTCATGCACTCACCCCACCCATGTCTCTTCTCGGTTTACATCAGCGTAATTCCACTGGCTTCAATGGAATTAGCTATAGATTTACACTGGTATAACTGTTCACAGACTTTGGCCTTTCAATTTCTTCTTTGGCCATCTTTGAGTGAAGTAGAACAACCCAGAGTACACATACCCCTAGGGGTACATAGTGGTCTTCCAAGGGGTACATCAACTCATCTAGATATTTGCCTAGTTTTACAATAGGCAACATAAAAAGCACTAGCAAAGTCAGTACAAACTAAAATTTCATACAATGACTTGTTTATACTGCCCTATATACTGAAATGTAAGAACATTTATATTCCAGTTGATTCATTTTCTAATTATATGGTAAAAATGAGCAAGTAAGCAATGTTTCAGTAACGGGAGGCTGTGACACTTTTGTCTTATGTCTGATTTTGTAAGCAAGTAGTTTTTAAGTGAGGTGTAACTTGGGGGTACGCAAGACAAATCAGACTCCTGAAAGGGTACAGTAGTCTGGAAAGGTTGAGAGCCACTGAGGTAGAAAGCCTGCCCCAATATATTGAACTCTAGCCAATCTTAGCCAGAATTCCCTAGAGATGATATTGTAAAAATATTTTTCCATTGCTTATGTGAGAACAAACTTCGCTGGCTAAGAAGAATGAACCAAAAATTTAAAATATCCCAAAATAAAGATAAATACATGGCAAGAATTTCATAGCAGTTATAAAGCTGCCATGCTTAAACTAAAAACAATGAAGGATAATTGGAACAGATGGTAATCCTCAGAGAGAACACATCCACTGGAAATGCAGCTGTGGAATATATTGTAAGAGGTTTCTTGTATGATGAATATGCTGTTTTAGAAAGATCAGTTAGGATTCAAGGATATATAGAATATATGTACAAGTCTCCAAATATCTTGAAATAAACCATTTTAATGTCATATGGGCAATTTTAATAAGAAATTAAAAGTTGAAACTTGCCCTAGACAAGGTATGCTGCAAATTCATAACACACATGAATTCCCAAAGGAAACGGGCTCAGTTGTCTTCTCCCAGTATCCAAGACCATCCCATCAAGTTATTTCTAAGATGAACGTACTTTGTGTTCTCAGTATTTTTAGGACCAAATATTTAGCCAAATCTGCCCTTGTGCAATCCTCAGAATTCAAATGCACAAACATGCCTACACTTTACAGGTGCAGATGCCCAGGCACTTCAGAAATCCTCATGAATGTGCCAAGTATGATCAGTGTTGTCCTCAGACAAGTGGAAAAGATAAAAATGTAATTCTTGATTTAAAAAATCTGTATATCTAGCTAGGGACATGAATGGCTTTTAGCACTAGAGATAGCTGGAAAATGGAAATCCCTAGCTGTGAAAAATTTCGCATCTTTGAAAAAAATTTCAGTCAAACAGGGATAAAACATCAAAACTGAAATATTTCATGGGAAAGGTTTTCAAGAAAAATTAAATTTCAGAAGAACCAAAGTGAAATTTTCCAGGTTTGCAGCTGCCCAGCTGAAAGGCTTTTGTCAAATTATAAGAGCCTGACCCTGTGACAGCCAAGTTGAATGTCTACACTGCAATTAAAAAACGGGGGCTGGCCCATGCCCACTGACTGGGACTCGCGGGATTCAGGCTAAGGGGCTGTTTAATTACAGTATAGACGTTCCAGCTCAAGGTGCTCTGCCTCGGCAACTCAGAAAGTGAAATTGACAAGACCATTCCAGGCAGGTAGCTGTCATTTTGATTTTCCTGATGGAAACTGATTTTTTGGGGGGCAGAGAGGGGAGGAGAGACACTGAAATGTTTCCACTGAAAGTTTCAGTTTTCCAAAAAAAGGGCATTTTTCATTGGAAAAATCATTCCAACATTTTTTTCCTACCAGCTCTACTTAGTATCTGAGCAATCTCCACAAGTTTAAAAAAAAAAAAAAAGTCAAGGCTCTTTCTTCCTTCCCTAGCACAAAGAGGCAGCTACAGGGGACCTTCACTGTGTTGTTTCTATTAGTGGTTTTTAGTGACTGTGTAAGATGTGGGTTTTGCATTTGGCTCTGAACTAAAGCAGCCAACACTTGTTTTTCTTTAGCACTTATCTGCTTAGTGCATTCTGAGAGGACTAGTGCATAGGACATAGGTAACATTTTAAAAAAAAACAATATGCAAAAGGGCATCTTAGGAGGAATTCAGTTGAACAAAGAAATGTTATTAAATGTGTCAAACAAGCACTAATTTCACAATTACTGCTGCCAGTGCCCGTGTGCTAGTAATTCTCATACTAACTATTAACAGTGATTTGGGAGGTAGCTAAGCAAGTGGGTAGCTGTATTTCAAGAACCTGAGAGGTGGCTTCTGTTAACAGCACCAAGGCCATAAATTAAATATTGAACAAAGAGGTATCCGAATGGATTTGTGTGAATTTTTACTACTTTCCAATAATAATTTTAAAAGTTCCAATCCAATGCTCTAGGTACACTTGGCAAAAATTCTAAAAGTACAAGTATAAATACAGTGGTCTCTGTTACTCCCAAGATTGAATCAAATAACCCCACAGCAACAGAAACAAAGAATAGATGTTCCACACAATCCCCACACCAACCCATCTCCTTATGGTGGGGTCGGAGGGGGGGGAGAAACAGAGGGAGAGAAGAGGGGCCTTGCAGTATACCCTGCAGGCTAACAAACTCTAGCTGTTGCAGGAACCAGAACCCCTCCTAAAGATTAGGCAGCTGTACTCGCTTTCCAGGAGGCACTGCTAACTATATTTTAACTGGCAACTTTTAACTTTCTTATAAGATTTTTTTTAAAAAACTAGAATGCATGTTCATTAAAATAAGCTATTCTTATACAGGGTATAATTTTCCCTTCATTGCTGGCTACCAGGGCCAGTACTTCCAGTAGGCGACCCCCTAGGGTCGCCTAGGGTGGCAGGATTTGGGGGGCGGCATTTTGCCGTCCTCGGAGGAAATTCGGCTGCGGGGGGTCCTTCCGCTCCGGGTCTTCGGCGGAAATTCGGCGGCGGGTCCTTCACTCGCTCCGGGACCTGCCACCGAAGTGCCCCGAAGACACGGAGTGGAAGGACCCCCGCCGCTGAATGCTCAGAGGAGAAGCGCTGCCGCCTAGGGCGGCAAAAACCCTGGCGCCGCTCCTGCTGGCTACCCAAAGCAAAGGCTGCTGATCTTTGGTTACCCAGAAAGACTTTGCATAATCTGATATCTCTTGGCATCTGCAGTCTCAGCATATCCTACTGCTGACAACAGACTGTGCTCTGAAAGCTATCTGAGGCTTGGCACTGCAAATGAATGAACTCGGATGTTTTTTACATTGTTTCTCTAAACAATATAGTAGGCTAAAGGAAACAAAAAGCTCGGGGGGTGTCTTACTGTATTCATAGTACAATTATTTTAATATATTTGTTTATTGTACCATAAGATGCATGGCATGTTAGAGAGAATGGATATATGGGGACAGATTTTCATAGGTATTTAGGCACCTAAAGATGTAGATAGGGTCCTAGTGGGATTTTCCAAAACACCTAGGCACTTTTGAAAATTCCACTAGATGCCTATCGTTACATGCCAAAACACCTACAGAAATCTGTCCTGCAGGCCCTGCTTTAAAGAACTCAATGTTGTTTACATTGATCAGGTTGGAAATTGCAGCCATCTTAGTCAGCAGCTAAAATTACAATTGTGGAATCATTACTTAGACAGCTGTCTTGCTAATTGCTAAGCTAGTAGGTACGATGACTAGTCACACAAATAAGTGATTGACCACATTGGAGTTCTTCCAATCTCTAACTATAAGGCCATATCTACACTACAAAATTAAGTTGACCTAGCGTACGTTGGCACACAGCCACCACAGTAATTACATCGCTTGTGTGTGTCTACACTTTGCTCTTTGTGTCGGTGGTGTCCCCCCTCACCAGGAGCATTTGTATCAATTGTACTGTCAGCGTGGGAAGGCTCCTGAAAGCCAGCAACAGTCGACATAAGCAATGCAGTGTCTGCACTGACACTGCGCCAAGCTAATTACATCAACCTCGACTCTATGCCACTCAGGGAGATGGAGTTATGAAGTTGGCATAGCAGGGCAGTTACGTCGGAGGAGTGAAATGTATGTGTAGACATTTCCATAGTTAGGTCAACATAAGCTGTAGCGTAGACCAGCCTAGGAGACAAAGCTTCTTACAGTTGAAAGTCCAGACTGGGGAATTTTGTGCTTGCTGCTAATTAGTCCTGTCCACACTGCTAGCTCCTGCTAGTCTATTAAGCTTAATTGCTCCACTGCGACTTTGTTCTGCTTGCCAGGCATCGTGCATACTCATCCACTCTGACAGTATAGCATGCATTGGTGTGTTGTTACCAGTAGAATGTCAGTGGAGGGAAAGCAATAAATAACAGAAAGAAAGGCCTCAAGTACTTTACTATCTGCACCTATATGTTGGCAAAACTTTGCAGAATGCAAAGAAAATACAAGGCCAGCTTCAGCTCTCATAACCATCCAGCTCAATTGTGATAAATAAGGACGCAAAGGTATAACTGAGGCCAGAACTTATTTAACTCACTGTGTGTTTTCTTAGATTGTGCTGAGTTTTAAATGCAGTGGTACAAAAAAAATTTGAAGTAAACTGAATAGATGTAAAAGTAGAGAGTCTAGGAGAATGTGAAATACTCAGACACAGAAAGGAATTTAGGGGAAAATCTGCTGCAATGCAGTGGTTTAGCCAAAGTCCATTGTAGGCATCCACAGAAATCCCAATGCATTCCCAAATGAATAGCTAGACTTAAAGATCCCTCTCTTTGTCAGTCAACAATGCAAATTTCACTAGCTAATGCTATCCATCTATAAGAATGAGAGAGAAATCTAAACATGAGCAGTCATGCACAGAACTGTTTTGGTTATACTCTATCAGGAATAATTTGTATTGTTATAAGGGTGCACTTTTGTCTCAAATGCACATCCCCCCACCCCAGCCCTGCAACAAATACTAAATGGTTTGTTCTTGCTCTACAGGGTCTCCTTATAGAGACAAAATTACCATTGCCATTCTCCAGCTACAAGAGGAGGGGAAACTGCACATGATGAAAGAAAAGTGGTGGCGGGGTAATGGGTGCCCTGAGGAGGACAGCAAAGAGGCCAGTGCTCTGGGGGTTGAGAATATTGGGGGCATCTTTATAGTGCTTGCTGCCGGACTTGTTCTTTCAGTGTTTGTAGCCATTGGAGAATTTATATATAAATCCAGGAAAAACAGCGATATTGAACAGGTGAGTTGTCTATTGCCAACTCGTTTCTGGTTTGTTTTTTAGGGCTGGGGTTGCCACGGTATAGGAGGCTGTACCATTAAGAGTCTATTCAGGCTCTTGTGTTATTGAATCTTTGCCATGCATTTCTGGCACTAAAGCCACATAAATTTATTAAATGAGAAGAGGGAAGTACCTCACTCAATCCAATTAGCGTTATTTAGTATGACTGTGCAGAAATTTCAAGCGTAGTTAATTTCTCGAACAGTTGTTGCTTGGTCATAACACTTCAAACAAATGGATTTGCAAAGGAATAAAAACAGAAAACTGCAGCTCTCTCTATAGCTTCAGTATCATCCCTTTGATAATGGCAGCAATCTACTGGTCTGTCTCCACCAATGCAGTTCTCTCTCACTCTAAAGCATTCCTTCAAAGCCAGGTGTCTGCATGTTCCACAGGGAAGGGCAGGCCATAAAGTGGGGAGCCTTGATAGAAAGATGGGAGCCACAGAACAGTAGGATCTAGCTTAAAAGTGATCCCTGGAGTAACTCAACTGAAGGGTAATGAACAATATAAAAACCCAAGAAAATAATGGATGGAAACCAATACATGGATTTTGCAATGTTTGAGGAAATACTGTTCTGTTTTCATTATAGAACCTCGCACACACTAAATATGTTTAAGAACAAAGCGAGATGAAGAGCAGTACTACTAAGCACACCCCAGATCCTGCAACAAATACTAAATAATTTGTTCTGCTCTACAGGGTCTCTTTAGAAAGACAAAATTACCATTGCCATTCTCCAGCTACAGTACAGTTACTGTCCTCAGTAATCCCTACTTTGTCCCTATGTCTTCCCTTGTCACTTCTCTACTGAGACCCCGATTCTGCCATCTCATCTTTGTAGGTGGATCCCCAGGGCCTGCTCAGCCCCCCATTTCCCTTCTATGGGACTTGGCTTGGGATCAGATTGGAGGCAGGCACCAAGGCTTTATTTGTCTGTATGGTGCTTAGGTGCATCCAGTGGATCAGTTAGAGCCAATAACAGTGTTAGTGGCATCCATTAGTTTGGCCATCATGGTACAAGGATAGGCTTATTGCAGGATCGAGGCCTAAAATACTCTAAACTGCTCCATGCAGGCAGATCCCTGCACCTGAGCAGACCTGCACTAAAGTCAATGGCGCTGCACATGGACACAGAGGTCTACCTATGTGGAGCGATTTGCAGGATCAAGGCTTTAGTAAGCCAAACATTTGGTATTTTAGGCATAAATCCAAGAGAACTGATGTACTTTGTATATATTGTTAATTTCTTATAAGTTTTAAAATCTCAATTACCAGTTTCAAAAACATACAATGAAAAGAGGGTTTCTCCAGCTCTTGACTCAGATAGGTTTTATCCATTATTCTATTTCTATCCTTTTTGTATAAAAAAGCAAAGGTAATGCAGTTGATTAAAGTTTGTAGGAAAAATGATAATGGGATAAGTGTGTAGGACAATATTTCTGGAATCATAATTAATAGGCCAAAAATTGTATCCCAAGAAGACTATTAATTCACTTCTTTATAATTTGGGTGAGTACCAGTGTGAATCTGATGTGACAAGTTCAGTTTATGTGAAAATCCTGCTACTATATCACAGCAACATGCAATAGACGGTAGCTTGTCTCATCATAATGAAAATCTTCAGCTGCATTAGAGTAAAGTGGCGATATCACATATTACTATCACAGAATCTGTGGGAAATGACTGTATAAAAAGAAGAATACAGAGAGTTTCATTATGACTATAAATTGCATATAATCTGTGACTTTTTCTGTTTCCATAATAGTATTTTTAATTTAGAGGTCTCATTTTCATATTTTTTTGTTATTTCACTTATTTATTTTTTCTCCATTTTTTTCCTGCATGCAAGGCCTTTTGTTTCTTTTATGGACTACAATGTAAGCAAACCCATCCATCCAACTCCACCTCTGGAACCACCTTATCTACGGAGTTAGACTGTGGCAAATTAATCCGAGAGGAGCGAGGGATTCGAACACAGCCCTCAATTCACACTGTATAATCAGTAAAGGAAAAAGGTGTGTCCAATGGAAAGCATTCATCTTAAAGAGTGTACATGACAGTGATCAAAATATTGCCTCACATATTAATAGCCTTAAAGCCTGGCTACTGTAGCAGATGGATCTCCAGGGTCCTGAGGATCTGAGCAGTTAGGTGCATATCATAGAATAAAAAATAGATTTAAAAAAAGTGTTAGTCTCTATATCTCTCTATAGAGAATAAGCCTCTTGTCATTCCTTTGGGTAGTTCAGCATTTTCAGGTGAGAAAAATGTATTTACCTTCTTTCCATCTTTCCCTTGCAGTGCCATTTGCTGAAAGTATGATTTGCAGGAACTCACTCTTTAGTCTCTGCAGAGCATTTAGCAAGAAGTCCATGCAGTTATTTAGAAACCTCACAAATCAACAATCTGCAGGATTCCATTAACTCTCTGAAAGGCCCGTTCATGGCAAAGAGTCAGTGATTTTTAGTTGACAGCACTTTGTTCCCAGTGTCAAATATTTAATTAATTTTAATTCATCCATTTAAAATTCATTATACACCACCTCCAAGCAGCTTGTACAATTGTACCACAAAATCACACTTAGGTTTTAAGCTGGTAACCATTAACATTAAAAAGAAAACTATTCCATGAATACATCCTCATAGAACACCTAGTTTTCTTCTTGTATACACTAGTTTTACATTAGTGTAATAGCATAGATTTAATTTTGATGTTCATCTGTGTAACTGAAAGGAGGATCAGACATACTGTACTTATTATAAGACAGAGGATTCTTTCATGGTATAAGCACCAATCAGGATATCAAATCATGTTGAATTGTAAACCCTTGGCATTTGTTTTGCATAATAAATATACAAGTTACTACAAAGTTGTGTGTAGGAAGTTGGTCTGAATAGCTATGCTGAAATACTATTGTGACTGTAGTTTTAGATATATATTTATATAAATCTGGGATCAGAATAACGTCATGAACCATGATAAACTGCCCTTTATTCTAAATAAGCCCAGTTTTTATCCAGATCTGATTATACCCCAGCTGATCCTGTAATTTCACTTATTTCATCTCCCACACATCACTCCCATCTGTCTCTTTGGTACAGTGTCCTGACCATTAGAATTCATTTGTATTGATCATCTTTGTCTGCTGTGGGTACTTGAGTTTTTTTATCTATTGGTATGGTTGCTTTGTACACTGCAGTTTACCCTTGCAACACAAGATGTAGCAAGTTAATGATCCCCTTTTTTTGATGGACCATGTCTGAGCTCTATTGCAATTAAACACTTCTTGCTGATTGACTTCTTCACACTAAGTAGGTGAAGTGCTCCAGATGCTCTAGTCTCCCTTAACACACTCCAACTCAGCCCTGTTCTGATTTCTTCTATCTGCTTTCTATCTGACCTGAATACTAAGACAAGAAAACATGGTCTTCTATATACAGTGACAGGAGTTTTGCTCATTTTGTTTCCATTTTGCATTATTTGTCTATTGGCCAATTTTATTTACCCTTTTAATAATCTTAGTGGTTTCCCTGGTTCTTCTATTAATCTTAAAAAACATTTGTGTTTTTATGACCAAGAAAGTACTCTTTACAATGTAAGCATATCAGTTTGTGTCTGTCCCACTCAAGATCCTGGAAGAAGTTATCCTGGTTATGATGGAATTACTCACAATAGTTAATACTTCACCTTGTAACAAAATTTGTTGGCTAAGGCCCCCAGAGCTTTGATCCATAAGTCTTGGCAAAATTTGTGTGCTTACAAACCAAGATCTAATCGCAGTGAGAGAATTAGGCACTCTAGTCCCAATTCAACAAAGCATTTAAGCATGTGATTTCCCCAGTGGGAAAAGAACTTTAATGCCAATCAAATCCAGCTCCTCTGAGCTCTCAGAGAAGGACAATGACTAATATGCTTATTATCCTAAACATTGTCCCCCTCAGTTTCCCATTCACCAGTCCCTTAACCTCCATTGAACTTTGGATGGACATTCAGTGTGGAGTGCCTTTGTTTTGTTCAGTTTTTAGATGAGCACCGTCACATCTTTGAGAAAGACTATAGAAAAAAAGAGCCAGTCTTAAGAACAATGCTCCTTACTTCTTGTCTTACTGTGCCAAACAGCATAGTAGATTTAGCTTGCCTCTGGGGACAATCATGAAACAATTATCTTGTTTTTAAATGGAATTTCATATCTAACCACAAAGATGTGTTAAAAAACTTGCCGTTCAAAAATTATACCAGCATCTGTTCATGTGAAAAATGGGACAATCACTTGAGCTCTAATAGAAGGTACATTTGTAGCGAAGGTACCCAATCCTGCCAGGTGCTCAGTGCCTCCAGAGAGCAGCTATGCACTCTCAACTCCTATTGAGATTAATGGAAGTTAAGGGCATTTAGTAATTTTAGTCATTGCACTTATCAAAGCCAAAGGACTTGACCCTAAATGGTTATATTTATTTGTATTATGTTGGTGACTAGAGTTCAGGGCTCCCTTGTGCATTCACTTAGAGAGACTCTCTGGCCTAAACAGCTTGTATTCTACATCAAAAAAAGGACTAAGAGTGGGAAGACAAAAACCATCACCATCTCCATTTACAGATGGAAAGCTAAAGCATAGAAGGATTAAATGGGTTATCTGAGGACACACAGGAAGTCTGTGGCAGATCAACAAACTGAACCAATTTATGATCAAATTCTTAAATGTTTTGTCCACACAGATTGTAAGGTCTTTGGGGCAGCGGCCATCTTTTCTTTCTGTGTTTCCACAATGCCTAGTACAACGGGGCCTGGTCTATGACTGGGGGTTCTAGGCACTACGACCATTTTTTTACATATTTTAAAAACGAATGCTGTAGCGCATCAAACTGGAAGTGTTATCTTTATTTAATACTTTTTGTGTTAAGAGGACTATGTCCAAAGACTATCCTTGCTTAACTAGATAATTATATTTTACATATTA